CAGACCTTAAGGGACTCAATACCGCGCTGCTAGCATTCCCACGTCTTACAATTGGTGACCCCGAGCTCAAGAGAGTCTCCACCGTCTACAACCGGTGACCCCGAGCTCTCTAGAGCGTTCACCCCACTACTCGCTCCACTCCGCACGGGGGCAACGATCACTTCATCGCGTGAACGGAAGCTGCCTCCCACACGGAGTCCGCCAGTATTGCAAATTGGCGGCCCGGAGCTCTCACCAGGAGTTCGCGTGAACGTAAACTGCCCCTTACACGGAGTCCGTCTACCCGTAATTCTACATACTGCGTCTGACTGCGGAGGTTGTAAAAACCTGTCAACGCTAAGGCTGTTTCATACACGCGGCCTTCTTCTACATCATGCCCGGGTCTACCGCAGGATCTCCTAGCCTGTCACCGGTCAGACCGCAGCTTCAACTGATTCGCATACATCCCTGTCAACCGATAGATCGCCTGTATCTGCAGTTGCACTGAAGCTACCGCAAAAGACACATGCAACACCACACCCCAGCAACAAAACAATCCAGCGACTTCAGTTTTGCAGTGTCACTACATCAGAGCTTTGGAACGACTGCAAGAAAATGAGTTTCTCCTTGCAACTAAAAGGGAAACGAGATGCGCAAGTGATGACGACGACCACCACTCACAAACGCCTAGCCAAATCTAGTCATAGAGTATCGATCGAACCTATTTCGATCTAGGAGGGGGATATCTGTAGCGGCCATGAATATACGTTTCCTCAAGTTACCCCCGCAACTCATTTTCTAAGATTGTTGCTACCCTATTATAATTTAGCGGAGTTACCCATCAACTCTAACTCAATATTATTTTTCATGTTATTGCCTTAAGCACCACAATTAGTTATGAACTGCGATTGGAATACTGTTAAATATGAATTAGCTATTTATTTATAATATTAGCACCGGCCTAGGACATTTCAACATCAAGTAACTCCAGTAGTCATAATCATTTACACATCTGTAATAGAGTGCGTAACCTGGTCTCCAGACCTAGTTCATGTAAATGAGGAGAATCCCTACTGCTGTCTCTTATACACATCTAGATGTGTATAAGAGACAGGTTGTTCATCAAGGGCAGAGAGGCTGATGTTCATCAAGGGCAGAGAGGCTGATGTTCATCAAGGGCAGAGAGGCTGATGTTCATCAAGGGCAGAGAGGCTGATGTTCATCAAGGGCAGAGAGGCTGATGTTCATCAAGGGCAGAAAGGCTGATGTTCATCAAGGGCAGAGAGGCTGTTGTTCATCAAGGGCAAAAATCATCACCTCGAGGAGATGAAGGGCAAGCCAGAGTAAAAGCAGTGTGTAACCCTGCAATTACCTGTGTTTTTATTTTCCTGAATTTAGCTTTGTTTTTCAGAGTTTCAGAGCCCCCCAAAAAAATTGAGCCAAAGCTAAATTGATATACTACAAGTTAGCGGTAAATTTAGCTAAATTTTTCGGCGATTTATCGGTTTAGCGTTGTAAAAGCTATCCTATCTAAACTATCCACTTAGCGGATTAACGATTATCGAAGCTAACTTTTCGGTTAGCTGTGCCCCCCACTGAATTTATGTACACGTGAATATGTTTAAAACAAACAAATGTACGAAAACGCATACATGAGTCAATTGGTAGCTGTACATGCACGAAAACATGTCAATGTCGGAGAAAGAATAACATAACAAAGCGATATCGTCACTGAAGTGTAGGCCTGAAGTGGCCTGTCGCCGATTCTTACTTTTCGTGGATCTATTGACATGATCTAAAATCGTGTCATTTGATCGGATCTTTTCAGGACTGACGATAGTTTGAAATAGCTACTAAGGCCTCCAGTCCTGTTAAACCGAATGCGAAGATCAAATCGCAAAATGAGCGAGGGGAAATTTGTAAATTTTGCAAGCTGGTTTCGCTTAACGTCAGTGACGCTACAGTGGCCTGTGATCGTTGCCGGGATATCATCTGCAACAATAATTGTGCAAAGTTGAACAAGACAGACTGCTCGGTTATTCGGTCAACCTGCAGTTAGCGCTGCAAAAAGCCAAAAGATGGTGGAAGAGAAGTGCTCTTCTATGTTTTCTGTTTTTAAGGCCGAAATGGAGGAGAACCACAAGAAAGAATTGAGCTTGTTGCGTAGCGAATTACACTCGTTACGAAACGAGCTGGTGGAAATGAAAGATTATCTGCACCAAACATAAAATAGCGATAACACAGAAGGTAAAGGCCGCAAAGAGGTCATCTCTGATCGTGTCAGCGAGAACACTCGTGAACTGCGGGATAGCGAGAAGAAGACTTGGTTTGACGTTCTCGCAAGCAATGCTTCGGATGCTGAGTTTATTACTGATTGTTGTGCCAAGGCACTTAACCTCGTTGTGAATATAACGACATTATCCTATCTAAACTATCCACTTAGCGGATTGACGATTATCGAAGTTGACTTTTCGGTATAGGCTGCGATCGAAAGACGCTACTACCTGTAGACCGCTGCTGGTAACTGTGCAGGACACAGCCCAGGTCGGACATGTGCTTAAGGCTGCAAGAAAACTAAGTGAATTCTCAGAGTTTGATTCAGTCTTTGTTAAGGAGGATGCAATTGGCAACTGTCCTAGCCGGCCCTTTGACGTAATTTTTTCGAAAAACTTTGAAAGAAGGATCTTGCCGGCTGACTGGAAAGAAGCTCAAGTGACACCATTGTTCAAAACATGTGACAAAAGCTGCCCGGGCAACTGTCGCCTTGTCAGTTTGACAAGTGTCGTTTGCAAGATACTGGAATCTGTTGTGAGGGATCTAATATATATAATATCTAATAATCTCCTATATAATATCTAACAATCTCCTATCAGACTGTCAACACAGCTTTATTGCCGGGAGATCCTGCACCACTAACCTCTTGTCTACTCTGAACGAATGGACCCGCCTACTGGACGAAAAGGAGCCAGTAGATTCAGTGTACATCGATTTTGCCAAGGTATTTGATAGTGTCCCACATGATCGGCTGTTGTGTAAATTGAAGTCTTTGGGAATTGAGAGTAATGTACTCAAATGGATCAGAGATTTTCTAGTAGGGAGACGACAACGTGTCAGTATGGGTCCGTATCAGACTGGGCTTCAGTGAGCATCGGCGTGCCACAAGGAAGCGTTCTCGGACCTGTTTTATTCGTTGCGTTTATTAACGATCTTCCAGAAGCTGTGTCTAGCGTGTGCTCGATGTATGCTGACGACACAAAAATTTATAATACAGTGGAGAATCGCAAGCGATCTTGACAGGCTGGTTGATTGGGCTGATATGTGGCAGTTGCGTTTTAACGCCGACAACTGTAGAGTAATGTAATTCACATTGGCAAGAATAATTCACAGCAAGATTACAGTATGAGAAGACACGGTTGCAATGTCAGAGTGATGATGTCTAAGTCGACAACGGAAAAAGATTTAGGACTTAATATCGACAAGGAGTTGAAATTTTCTAAGCATATTGAAGGTCAACTTTATAATGCCAATAAACGACTAGGACTGCTGAGACGCTCTTTGGAGTTCCTAGATGCAGAAGCGATGAAGCAATTGTTTGTTGCTGTCTTGCGCCCGAATTTAGAGTTTGGAAACGTTGTGTGGTCACCGAGATTTGAAAAGGACAGAAATTTAGTAGAGAGTGTTCAAAGACGTGCAACAAGGATAATTCCGGGCTTGAAAGGCAAGTCCTATGAGGAAAGATTAAAGATTATGAAGCTTCCAAGCCTCAGTTATCGACGTCTGCCTGGGGACCTCATTGAAGGCAACAAGTATACTCATGGCTTATTCAAGGTCCTAGAAGGATTAATAGAATTTGAAACAAGAACCAACACCAGGGGCCACGGTTAATCTGGATAAGTGGTCGTTAACAAAATTTTGGTGGGCAAGATTCGAGGAAAGATTGTGAGTAAATGGTCGGTAACCTATGATTCGAGCCTTTTATGCAAACTGTGCCCATAGTTCTTCTTTCTATAGTACCAGTACGACTCATATTAATATATTTATATCGGTTTCAGCGTTTATTCGGCCGCAGGCCTGTCGCCGATCCTTAATATTGCAGAACATTCACAGCTTACTGAGGTCCTGAACAGCGCAACTCGCTGCTGCAATCTTGCTTTGATTAACCGCCCGGCCCCCTCGCTGATTCTGACCAGAAACAATCGCAGGTAGCTATAAGGTAAAACCCGCACCTCTATGCTCCAATCCTGGTATTCTGAACTTTACGAAAGTTGCATGAAGCCCTCGTATGATTCGCTGACTCAGAAGGCATTGTAGAGATGGATGCCGCGATGCTGTTTATACATGCAGGTGCTGGAGAGATGATGGGTGGCATGACGTTGATTTTTGCGTGCGTTCGAGAGATGATGGGTGACGCAACGTTTTGTGTGGGAGCTCGAGAGATGATGGTTGACGCAACGTTTTGTGTAGGAGCTCGAGAGATGATGGGTGACGTAACGTTTTGTGTGGGAGCTCGAGAGATGATGAGTGACGCAACGTTTTGTGTGGGAGCTCGATAGATGATGGGTGACGTAACGTTTTGTGTAGAAGCTCGAGAGATGATGGCCGGGTGACTCGACGTTTCATGTAGGCGCTGAGATGATGAAAGGCAAGCAAGAACATAGTTCACAGTGCCGAGCTTGCAAGAGCTAACGTTAAAAACGACTCTATCAGGGTTACACGGATAAAATTTTTTACGTACAATGAGGTTATCAAACTTCTTTACGAAAGGCCTAACATACAGTTGAGCGTCTGGCATGTTCATTCTTGCATTTTTGTTCCTTTATAAAGGAGCACTTGATGCTGGTATAGGACATCAGTGGTCTAACTTGGTGCAGCATAGGTCAGAATGTTATTTATTTCAAATCCTTTCATCTTGGTTGGCCCAAACACTAGACCTACCATTGAGCATTTGAGGTACGTCTATTTGAGAGACGCATTAGGCGTAGCTTTGGTTAAATTTTAATATCGGGTGCTAACCACACCAGGAAGCAGACAACTTCAGGGAGGTGACCCCATCCGGAGGCAGATCACGTTGGGATGGGACCACACGAGGAAGCAGACCACGTTAGCTAGAGGAGCACGTCCCGTAGGCAGTACAGGTTAGGGAGAGGACCACACCAGAAGGTAGATCACGTTAGGGAGGACTATACCAGGAGGCAGACCACGTTAGGGAGGGGAGGAACATGACGCTGATATACAAAAACTCGTGACACGAATCGGCAACTGCTTAAATTTGTCCAGAGATTATGTAGAGAAGTAGTGTAATATATGTTCTTTTCAATAAACATGTTTACATTTGTTAATATTTACTTCTTTTTGTTCAATTCCCAAACGGGTACTACTTTCCGGATGCCCCTCGTAATCTCCTGCTGAATATTTTTATGCACGTAATTCTGGCTTGTCGAACACGTAATTTTGTCTTGACATTTACATAATTCAGGCTTGTCAAACACATAATTCTGTCTTGACATTCACTTAATTCTGGCTTGACGTGCACGTAATTCTGTCTTGTCATGCACGTAATTCTGGCTTGTCATGCAATTAATTCAGGCTTGACATGCACGTAATTATTTCTCGACATTCACCCAATTCTGGCTTGACATGCAAGTAATTCTGGCTTGTCATGCACGTAATTCTTGCTCGACATGCAAGCAATTCTGGCTTGATGCGCAAATAATTCTGTCTTGACATTCACCTAATTCTGACTTGTCATGCACGTAATTCTGTCTTGACATTCACCTAATTCTGGCTTGACATGCACGTAATTCTGTCTTGACATGCACGTGATTCTGTCTTGACATGCACGTAATTCTGTCTTGACATTCACCTAATTCTGGCTTGTCATGCACGTAATTCTAGCTTGACATGCACGTAATTCTGGCTTGACATGCACGTAATTCTGTCTTGACATTCACCTAATTCTGCCTTGACATGCTCGTAACTCTGTCTTTACATGCACGTAATTCTGTCTTGACATTCACTTAAATATTGCTTGACATGCACGTAATTCTGGCTTGACATGCACGTAATTCTGTCTTGACATTCACCTAATTCTGGCTTGACATGCACGTAATTCTGTCTTGACATTCACCTAATTCTGCCTTGACA